GCCGCACCTTGGAGGTCATCCTGCGGGAGGACGCGCGGTTGAAGCGGTTTTTCGCCCTCAGCGCGCGCTGCCGCGGGGCCGTTTGCTGCCGGATGACGCCGCTGCAAAAGGCGCAAATCGTGCGGTTGTTTCAGCAACGCACCGGCGCCGTCGCCCTCGCCATCGGCGACGGCGCCAACGACGTCAGTATGATTCAGGAAAGCCGCGTGGGGGTGAGTATTATGGGGTTGGAGGGCTCCCAGGCCGAGCTCGCGAGCGACTACGCGATCCCGAAGTTTCGCTTTCTCAAACGCCTCTTGATGGTGCACGGGCGCTTCTCGCTGTATCGGGAGGCGCATTGCATTCTCTACAGCATCTACAAAAACATCATCCTCGTGGTGAGCCTGTACGGGTATAGCTTCTACAGCGCCTACTCCGGGATCTCCTTCATCGACTCCTGGTTGTTGTCGTTGTATGGCGTCTTTTTCGTGCTGCTGCAGCCCGTGGCGATCGGCACCCTCGACAAGGACGTCCCGGACGAGCTCGCGGAGTCGATTCCGCAGCTCTACCCGCCCCTCTCGCGGGAGCGGATGTATTTTTCGCCAGGCTACATCGCGAAGTGGCTTTTGGACGGCGCGATCGAAGGTGCAGCGTATTTTTTCCTCGTCATCTACGGCATCGCGGCGAAGGATTCCCTCTACCCGTCGAAAACCGCCGGGGTGGAGGATTACGGCCAGGTCTTCTTCACAATGCTCGTCCTCGCGGCGAACCTGCGGATGATCATCATCTTTCGCTACCACATGATCGTCTTTGTCGTGCTGAGTGTGCTGGTGATGGTGAGTCTGCCGGTGTTTGAGATCATCTACGCCCACTTCCACAGCCTCGCGGGGACGAACCTGTCGGTGTACATCGCCCTCGAGCTCTACAGCTCCTACAACATCTACCTCTTCATGATCTTCGTACTGGTGACTGCGATCGTGTACACGATCAGCACGAACAACTTCGTTCAGATGATTCGCCCGTGGACGAGCGCGGAGTTCGCGATCAGCGCCGCGCATGCCTCGCCCTATCGCGAGCCCGGCCGGCAGGAGTTGAAGCGCCTTAAAAAAGAATATCGCCACCACTGCGACCTCGCGATGCAGGGGGCAGGAGGGGGGATGGATCCCAGCCGTCGAGTCGCAGCCCTCTACGAGAAAAGCCATCATGTAGGAGCAAAACCTCGATGATATACATATATATATATATATCCGAAAAAAGAAAATGAAAATGCATATCAAAAGGCCCGCTGGTGCCAATCAAGTATCCTTTTTGAGCCACGATTCATAGCTTTTTTTTTGTGGAGTGTTGTTCTTGGTGAAACACCAAGGTGTGAAAAATATTGCTATTGTTGTAGGACTTTTATACATTATGGATGGGTTAATTGCTATTTGGTTACTAAATAATATATTTGCCTGTACGAGCGTCATTCTCTTGGACTTTACACCTTAAAAAGTCCCAAAGAGGAGAAATAATTATAAAGTTCATATTTACTCCTTTGTGCCCAACGATCCCTTCCTTGGGTGTCTGCTCGAGAATACTATATACTTCAGGTTCGAGCAGCAACGATAGGAAAAATTGTATATTTCCTTTGTCTAAATCAGAATAAAGGAAAATAATGAGGATCTGGAGGATGGCATTTTTTTTTTTTAAGACTATTATGGGGAAACTCTGCAGCCTGTCTGTTGACACTTTGGGGGTAATCTGCCCGACCTCTCTATCTTTTCCCTTCTAATTATATATTTCTGCATATGTATATACGCGTTTGGAAGGTGAGAGTTTTATGGTCATTACTATTGCTTTAGTATATCTTGTGGGGGAGACAAATGTCAACTTGTCTCACATACGTTAACCCAGGAGAGCAATTGAAAGATATAAAAAGTTATCCTTTCTCCTCTCTTCTCTTTGGGTGGTTATATCGGCTTAATATTTCTCTATAAGTTCTTCAATAAGTGTAACTCCTTGCATATATTTTGCTATATCGCGTTTTATATCTATACAGGTGGGAATGGGAGCACCTCGGACTCTCATCGGTGCATTGCATTGCGGTATTTGTTTGAGTGCCTCTTTATCCGAAACGTTTGTGCCTATTCATCCCTTCCTATTGTTTTTCTTTTTGACTAGGTCTTGTTGTTGCTCATTTGGTTAGTTTATATTTATTGTTGATTGAGCGTACTTCTTTCATTCGGACGAGGTTTACTAAGCAACCAACATCATAAACGATCTAAAAACGTGCGTGTAGCACAGACAGAAAAGGAAGAACAAGGGGTTCTTAAACTCCGAAGCATTTTTCCCGCCATATCAAGCTGAGCAGAGGCAACGTTTATATATTGGCTTTATTATTTCAATTTTGTTTCTTTCTTCTCGTTCGGTCCTCTAAAGGTGATCCCCGCTCCAACGCTTATTTTTTAAAATACCGTTGTGCGAACACCAAGGAAGGCAACTCCCTACATCCGTAATTACCCGTTGCATCCTCGTCTTCCTAACCCCCAGGCGATGCCCATGGCTCTCAGCCTCCTCCGTGGTTCGTTTCTCGTCTCCGGCGGCCTTCGCCGGATCGCGGCGGTGGCGTTCACCCCCCACCCCTCCCATCTTTCCCTTTCCCTCCCTCTTTCGTTTTCTTTAGCGGCGAACTCAACGCTGTCGGGGCTCCACCGCCGCTCCGCGCTGCCAATGATTCACGCCTCCCTCGGCCCTCCGACGGCGAACCCCGCCGCCTCGTCGCCGTCAGCCCCCCTCTCTTCCTTCTCCTCGCCGGCTTCCTTCCTGCCCTCCTCCTCCTTCCCCTCTTCCTCCCCCTCAACCTCTTCGTGGGCGGAGGAGGAGGAAGAGGAGGAGGAGGAGGGCCATGCCGTTGCGCTGCGCAGCCGCTGCGTTCGTCAACTTCGCGACGAGGCGCTCCTCATCGCGGCGTCGCTCCGTCGGCTGCGGGCGGAGCGGGAGCTCGCGGAGGC